TTTTTTTTTTAATTATTTTAATCCCAAACATCCTCCTAAGAATAACATTCCCTTAAACATGCTGTGGAATAAAATTAATCATGATGAGTTGGGAGCTGGTGTTTTGATTTGGCAACTTGGGTTCGGTCTCCTTGGTCGTTGRCATCATCTGGGAGCTTGTTAGAAATGCAAAACCTGGGACCTCACCCCACACCTTCTGAGTCAGTGCTTTGTGTGCACATTTTGTTTTTAGTTTGGGAAGCACTGGTCTAAAGGACCCTCTTCCACTGATAGGGCATTGTAGGCGCTGGGCATCCGTAAAGGATGTTACTTCTACGAAGATCATCTTAACTCACCTGGAAAAACAGACTTGCTGTGTAAAAATCTGATCTACTCATTTTACATTGTTGCCTCCTGACCATAATTTTTTTCCCCCTTTACTATTATAACTTTTAGAATGTATCAAATTAAATAGATCCCAACTTTTAGGGGAATATATTTAGCAGTAAAAAAGAATACAAACCCACAGAAAGTAAGTCAGAACTAAAATCTAACTGTGAATTAATAAATTACAGGTCAGAGCACAGCCTAATATTGTCATGATTTAGTTCCACTAGAAACATCATCTGGATCATAAACTCCATGAGCTTAAAGGACTGACCCAAGCATGCAGAACTCGGCATAGGCAGCACGAGCCACTGAACTCACAGCACAAGCTTTTGGGTGCATCCAGGTGACTGCTCTTCACTGCCATCAGGATGTGCAATTACACACTGACCTGGGGTTGAGATGACATGGTCCAGAGCACTCCATAAATTGAAGGAAAAAGTCCCTTGTAATTCCTAGTCATTCAAACAGGGTCAGTGTTCCCATCAAAGCACTCACACCCTTGTGTCAAGTCAACAACTGTTCTTATCATTAAACTTCCGTTATTGACATATGTGTCCTTTGTGTTGAAAATATCATTGTTCTAAGCTTGGGCCAGTGGTGCAATGGATAACGCGTCTGACTACGGATCAGAAAATATTGTTCTAACCAGCATCATGATAAAATAAACATTAGGTAAAAACACAGAGAGTCATAACATTTTTTACTTAGAGCATTTAAGAGCCCATCCATGAAAAAAGAGAATTCCATGAACCAAGATATCTGACTTTGAGTTTAAGAGAATGATCTATCCTATGACTCTGGCTGGAAAGAATTGGCCTCTACCCTGGTCTTCTGGTATTCCTACTTTCATTTATTAAATAAAAAGGAACACTTTCAGTCAGGGCTTTTTCTTTCCCTTTTTTTTTTTTTTTGGACACATAGTTACACATTTGAGATACAATATGACATTTTATTAGTGTATACACATTAGGTAACAGTCCAGGGTAATTAGAATATCCATTGCCTTAAACTTTTATCATTTCTTTAGGTCATCATCACATTACATTAAAATTCCTCTCTTCTAGCTCTCTTGAGATGGTCAATGCATTTTTGCTAACTATATTCACCTATGCTGTAGAACACTAGAACTTATTCCTCCAGCCTAATTGTAACATTGTAGCCATTGACCAATCTCTTTCCATCCTTCCTGCACACTCCCCGATCTCTGGTAACTACTCCTGTACTCTCAACATCAGTGAGATCTTTTTTTTAGATTCTGCATGAGTGAGATCATATGGTGTTTGTCTCTCTGTGCTTGATTTATTTCACTTAACGTGAGTCCTCCAGTTCCATCTATGTTGCCGCAAATGACAGAATTTCATCCTTTCGTGGCTGTATAGTATTTCATTGTGTATATATACCATATTTTCTTTACCTATTCATCTGTTGATGGATTTTTTTAATGTCATCAGTTGTTTATTTCAGTTTTAATAAAAATATTTATGGAAATCAGTTATTCCAATCCTTATCTTAATATTAAATGAATAATATACAATTCTTGAAATACTAATTTAAATCATTGTTATATGAATTTTGCTAATTACAATTTTTACAAGAAAACGTGGTGAGGATGTTAAAGTAAGAGGAATGTTTATGCTAGTCTATACCTCCAGAGGAGGGGAAAAAAGAAGGAAAAAAAAAACCCTCACTGAGTTACTGAGTTTAAAATAGTCAAAATTAATTTTGTTTTCTGCTCACCAAGGCCCAATTCAGAGTTCAACGATTCCCTATTAGATTTATAGTTTAACTGCTTTCTGTACTTGTTGATTCCATATACTTGATATTGTGGTTGGTGCTACCATAAATATGGGAGTGGAGGTATCTCTAACATGCTGATTTTGTCTCCTTTGGGAATATACCCAAGTACTGTTAAATCATTTTCCTACCTTTCTATAGACTGGTGTGATCCTCAGAGTGTGTTGACATTGTTCTCTATTCCTTCATTTTGTGGCAGTGAGGTGAAGGGTTGCTGCCCGATCTGAACACCTCAACTTCTCTCCTGAGGCACCCAAAGCTTTTTTTTTTTTTTTTTTTTTGCACACAGTGAGCACACCTCCTCACGTTGAGCCCTTGCTTCCCACAGTTCTCTAAGCCCAAGCAAATCAGCCACATCCAAGGCAGAAGTGAAACAGGAAACCCGATTTTGTCATTAAGTCTAAGTCATGTTCTCCAATTTGGCTTTACCTAAAAATAAAACTGATCGTTTAATTTGAATCTGCTGATAATTTACTTCTTATCTTACTCTCATTCAGAACTCAAAGGAGGAAGGGTAATTAATTGGGTACTTTGACCCCTGTGACTACTTTATGCCAGGGCTTGAACTCAGGGCACTCAACCACTGAGCCACCTGCCCAGCCCTACTTTGTATTTTATTTAGAGACAGGGTCTCCCTGAGTTGCCTAGCACCTCACTTTTGCTGAGGCTGGCTTTGAACTTGTGATCCTCCTGCCTCAGCCTCTGGAGCTGCTGAGATTACAGGGGGGCACCACCATACCAGGTTCCCTGTGAATAATTTTAAGGGCAATGTATGTGTCAGCTTTTTGTCACTGTGACCAAAATAAACAATAAAAACAACTTAGAGGAGAGAAAAATTTATTTTGGCTCATGGTTCTAGAGTGGGGGGTCTATGGTTGGCGGAGTCCATTGCTCTGGGCCCAAGGTGAGTCAGAACATCATGGTGGAAGGGCTTGGTAGGGGAGCACTGCTCCATTCATGGCAGCCAGGAAGCACAGAAGGCAAGGGAGGGTCACAGGGAAAATGAATCTTCCAGGGCATACCCCAGTGACCCAGCTCCTCTAGCCACAACTCCCCTACCTACAGTTACCACCCAGACAGTCTATCAAATTAGGATAAGGTTACAGCTGTCAAAAATCTAGTCATTTCACCTCTGAATATTCCTTCATTAACACAGGAGCTTTGCGGGGACAGCTTATATCCCAACCCCAACAAGCAAGGAAAGCTAATGGTTACTGCAGAATAAAAAGTACAAGTCTGAATGTTTCCTTGATCTACTTACAAGTCCATTCTAAACCATCTTCCAATAATCAACTCAAGCACACTCTGCCTACCTGCGCTAGTAATGAAATTTGGTAACCCTGTGACATATAAAACTCTCATCTATTTTGTTTGAGTTATAAAAATATTTTACACTTAACATAAACCTTTAAGGAAACAAAAACATTCACCATCAAAAGCATTCTTAAAATTCAGGCACCAGAAATACAACAAGAACATAATTTGTACCATTGGTGAAATGGCAATTAAGTCATGTACTCAAATACCAAACCAAAAAGTTGCAGCCGAGCATGGTAGGTGATATTATATAAGTACATTCAAGGAAGAGCAGGGGAAAGGAGGTGGTGACCCCCACTTTCAAAAGTGGGGTAAAGAGAAAGTGAGAGGAGTAGAGAATCCAGTTAGGTCTTAGAARGGAGAAGATGTTTTCCAGGCAAGAGAGGAACCTTCCAAGTGGAGCAAAGAGTACCAACAGAGCTTGGTGTTTCCTGCAGCCACTCAGGAAACTTGAACCATTCCATGGAGCTGGTGAAGGATGCACGGGAGAGAGCAAAGGGGCATGATACCTGCGAGGAAAATGGCCCAGATCATGACGACTCTGACAGAGTTGGCTAGAGACTTTTACTTCAGGGAAAAGGAGAGTGCATTAAGAGGAGTCATGTTGTCAAACCCGCCATTCAGAAATATCACAAAACAGCCATGTGAGGGCAAGGATTCCAGGGGGAGAAAACTGGAAGCAGAGATATTAGCAAAGAGATTATTGAAATAGCCCCAAACCAGAATCACTGGGCCCCAGACTTTGGTATCAGCAATGGGAAGAGGAAGGGGGACAAAGTTATTATTAAAAAGCAGAATGGGCTGGAAGCAGGGGATGGCGGGGGAGAACAATGCAGATAGCACTGGAGCTTCTGGAATGGGTGAATAGGCAGAATGAGATAACAGGGCTGTTGCCTACATTCCACAAGAGAGGAGGAGCAGGAGAGTTTAGGAAATGATAATGAAATCAGATAATGAGGTAGTAGGCATTTGTTGGATTCCTCCAAACAGAAAAATAAGATCCGGGGTGAGTCATTTAACCACGTGAGCCTCTTATTTCATTTATGAAATGGAAATCTCATTACTTCAGGGGGCTGTACATGAGGTGCCTGGAAACTGTCACTGCCCACAAAGTAAGTCCCCTCCCTTCCCTTCCTGTCCCTACTCCTTCCTTCAGTCTCTTTCTTTGGTGACCCAGGGTGACTTAAGCATAGGATTTTAGCACAGTGGAACTAAACCAGACATTTCAACCCACTCASCCTGTTTTATGAGAAAGAAAAATAAGA